CATCTTCTGCTTACAATCTTGACACACTTCCCTTCTCTCTCCATCTTACCCCAAGGGCTTCCTCTGTCCTTCGATCCTGTCTCCTGAACTTTGGCCCCTCCCTGCCCCCCACAGCTGTTTAGCTTTGCCTACCCAGTTGCACAGGAGCACTGGTGGCACAGTGGTTAAGCAGTTGCTTGCTAACCAAAAAGTTGGTGGTTCTAACCCACCAGCTGCTCCTTAGGAGAAAGATGTGGCAGTCTGCTCCCATAAAGATTTATAGCCTTTGAAACCCTATGGGGCAGTTCTACTCTGTCCTATAGGGTCACTATGAGTCAGAATTGACTCGACACCAGTGGGTTTGGTTTTTGGTTGGAAATCAGTTGCCATTGAGTTGACTCTGACTCATGGCTCCCCAAGTGTGTCAGAATAGAACTGTGCTCCACAGGGTTTTCAATGGCTGATTTTTCAGAAGCAGATTGCCAGGCCTTTCTTCTGAGGTGCCTCTGGATGGGTTTGAACCTCCAACCTGACTGTGCTAAGAGGCCACAATTTCACAGCCTCATCAAGACCAACCACAGATCCCTGGTGGAGGCCTCAGAGGCCACACTATTCACACACACCCAAAGACGTCCACACCCCTGGAATCTGTGAATGTGACCTTATTTGGAAAAAGGGTCTCTGGATATGGGATTAAGTGAAGGATCCAGATGAGGAGATGATCCTGGTGGATTGCCAGGGCGGGCCCTAAATGCCATCCACATGTGTCCTTATGAGAAGGAGGCAGAGGGAGATTTGACACAAGGGAGGCATGTGAAGACCGAGCAGACATTGGAGTGATGCGGCCACAAGCCAAGGGATGCCTGGAGCCACAGAAGCTGGAGGAGACAAGGAAGGATCCTTCTCTGGAGTCTCCAGAGGGAGCGTGGCCCTGCTGACACCTTGATTTCAGACTTCTGGCCTCCAGAACTGCAAGAGGATAACCCTGTGTTGCTTGAGCCGCCCAGTCTGTGGTCTCCTTACAGCAGCCATGGGAAGCTCATCACTCATACACTGTCACCTGGAGATAACACCCAGCCCCAGCAGTGGGAAGGACCAGCAACTCAGTGGGGTCATTCTGAATACTGATGTGATTCTAACTCTTTACCTTGGAGCCAGGAGTGCTCTGCTGTGACCAAGGCTGTCGTTGAGCAACACCCCCCGCCCCGGCCTCCTCTCTGCCCCCAGGGGCCAGCTCCAGGGACACGCTATGTTCCCCTTCAGGGCCAGGCACGGGTAACAGCAGGTAGTGGGGCTCATCTTTATCTGCTTGGGAGGACAAGGAGCCCTGATGACATCCCAGAATTACAGGAATCACCCCCCTGTGCTTGTTTGCCACGGAGATAGAGCAGCACAGAGAAGCCTCCGGAGCAGCCCAAAGGCCTGGGGGAGACCTTGCTGTAAGTGCCCTGTGCTCCACAGGAGTCAGGACAACTTGGGTGGAAGGCGGGGAGAAACAGGGCGGCAGTCACTGAGTGATCTTGGGCAAGTCCCTTCCCCTCCTTAGGCCTCAATTTCCCTGGCTGTAAATGCGGGATCTGTTCTGCCTTGGTGGTTCCTGACTGTGAGAGTAGTCTCTGGGGGCCTGGATGTCCAGCATCAGTCCATGCCTGCCCGTCAGCTATGAGCTGTCTACCTCTGTGCCCTGTTGTCCAACTGTCTGCACTGCAGTAGAGCTGCAAAAAGTAGACATGTGTTAAGTGTCCTAGGCATCATAGCAGGTCTTTGTCATTACAGGTTGTTATGGATTGAATTGTGTCCCCAAAAGTATGCATTGAAGTCCTAACTCCTGTGCCTGTGAATGTGACCCTGTTTGGAAATAGGGCTTTCTTTTGTTATATTAATGAGGTCACACCAGAGTAGGGAGGGTCCTAAACCTAATCCCTTCTAAGTGGTCTTAGAAAAAGAGCAGAGTAGACAGAGACATACAGTGGGAGAAGACAGACACCAGGAATGCCAAGGAATGCCCAGGGTACCGACAAGGAAGGACCTTCCCCTGGAGCCAACACCCTGAATTCTGACTTCTGGCCTCCAAGTTTGCAGGACAACAACTTCCTGTTCTTCAAAGCCCCTCACATGTGGTGTTTTTTGGTATAGCAGCACTAGGAGACTAAGACACAGCTGTTCTCACTCAATAAATACTCACTTACCAAATGAACTCACCCCTAAGCCAACCCCTGCTCCCCTCCACCAGGGCTCCAGGGAACCCAGACTCAGGCAGTGCCATGTGCATCCTTTAGACACTTTCACTTCCATCCCCCTGCTGCCACGCACAGCTGCACCAGGCACGTCCCTGCTGTGACACCTTCCACTGTGGGCATGCATCCAATGTGCCCATGTGTTCCCCGGCACTCCCAGCCCCCCGTCTTCTGCCTGCAGGATCCCACTCATGCTCCCTGAGTCACTCCCAGCTCCTACAGCAGGATGAGCCAGAGCACCGTCAGAATAGGCATGACACGCTGGCCAGGCTGTCACAGTCGGTTTTCAGATGTCCTTGAACTTCGTGCATATTTGATCAGCCTCTTCTGCCCTGTGCTGGGTGCCCTCCTTGTTCTGGTTTATAGTTTGGCAAAAGCTAGCACGTTGTCATCTTTGAGTGGTTCTCAGGACAGCCTGGGTTGGCAGCACAGGCGAGGAGGAGGCCTAGCTTTCAGGACCCGGCCAGTCACTGTGACCATGAGCACAGCCCTTATACCTTCTCCTTGGCACGGTTTGTGGGGAAGCTCAATGAGACAATGGGTTTAAAGGTACTTTGAACTGTAATTTTTTTTAAAAGAACAATACCTTACTGTGTTTTTGGTGAAGGTTTACACAGTAGTTTAGGTTCTCATTTAACAATTTCTACAAAAATTGTTCGGTAACTGGTTACATTCTTTACAACACATGATATAGTCTCATTACTTCCTTTTTGGTTGTCCCGTTTCCATTAATCTAGTTTCCCTGCCCCCTTACCTTCTCATCTTTGTTTTAAAGTAATTGTTGACCGTTGAACTGTGACATTTTGAATACAAACTATAAAGGAGCTCTTTTTACTTTTTTATATTTTCCTGACCTATGATGAGTATGTATTATTTTAAATTGGAGTCCCTGGGTAGTGCAAAGGGTCAACGTGCCCGGCTGCTAACCGAAAGGTTGGAGGTTCACGTCTACCCAGAGGTGCCTCGGAAGAAACGCCTTGTGATCTACTTCCAAAAAAATCAGCCATTGAAAACCCTACGGAGCACAGTCCTGTTCTGACACACATGGGTCACCAACAGTCAGGGTCGACTCAATAGCAACTTGTTCTGTAAGGTGGCCCCTGGGGCAAAAGGAAAGGTGGGCTTTTCCCTAGAGTAGATTCGGAATGAGTGTCTAGAAGTCTCCGAGCTGCTCGGAGAGATACTAGCTATGTGGGCCCTTGCTCAGGAGTCACAGGCAAGAGGCAGGATGTGGGGTACAGAAGGGAGTGTCCCCTCCATCACGGACTGGGAGGCAGTCTGTGTCTGTCCACAGGGAACTGTCTTTTCTTTGGACTTCAGTTTTCCCAGTGGTAAAACAGGAAGAGGGAAAATTATTACCTATCAAGAATTTAGTATATGCCAGGCACTATGCAGATTAAGTCATGTCTATTGTCTGATAAAGTGAGAAGTTCACAAACCTTTTGGTCTTGACATTCTTAAAAATTACAGAGAACTCCCATCAGCTTTGATTTCTGTGAGTTATAGCTATATTTACCATATTAGAAATTAAAACTAGAATTTTTTAATATTTATTTTATTTAAAAATTACAGTAATAAACCCATCACATGTTAACATAATGTTTTACCAAAGATAACAATTTTTTCCAAACAAAAAAGAAAATTCAGCGCTAAGAATGACATCGTATTTTATTTTTTAAATCTCTTTAATGTCTGGCTTAATAGAAGATAGTGGGGTTCTAATATCTACTCCTACATTCAAGCTGCTATAATACATTATTTTGGTTGAAGTATGCAAAGAAAATTTGGCCCCACACAAATACATAGTTATAAAGGGAAGAGTATTTTAACAGCCTTTTCAGGTCACTGAGGCTGCTCTTCTTGGATATTCCACTGAAACTCAACAGCCCACATTCAGTCTCCTGGAAAATATAAGTTCACTGAGTTATACGGATCTTCCAAATGTTGACACGTTAATTGTTGTTGTTGTGTGTTGTTGAGTCAATTCCAACTCATAGCAACCCTAAAGGACAGAGTAGAACTGCCCCATAGGGTTTCCTAGGCTGTAATCTTTATGAGAGCAGATCACCAGGTCTTTCTCCTGCTGAGCTGCTAGGGGGTTTGAACTGCTGACTTCTCAGTTAGCAACCATTGAGACACCAGGGCTCCTTTGACATGCTCATTATATGCGACCAAAACATGACATTCATTAGTATCACCACCAATCGCATCAGAGAAGTCCTTAAGTATTGGGAAACCATCAAACTCACAGTGGGAGATGCTAGTTTTCGAAAATTCTACTCTTCACTTGAGAGCTCAAATTTTAATGTTGGTGTCAAATCCTGACTGTTGTTTTCCTCTGGCCCAGTTGCTGGTAACAGACGTTAACAAAGACCAAGCATTCATCCCTGTAATGCCCACCAGGACTTTTTTCCCCTTGAAAAAAATGCTTAAAATGACCATTAACAATGGCTGGGTGAAGGCCATGGTTTTACAAGAATTGAGGCTAGGCGTCCTCCAAACTCTCTTCCTGTCTCTCACCTCCACCTCCTCCCCAGGGACGGGGGAGAACCATCCAGGTGGAGTTCAGACTCCAAGTCCAACCCCTGGGGCCTGGGACATTCAAATGTGCTAGTTCATGGGAAGGGAATCCACAGGGAACCTGGACGATGAGCCATTGGCACAGGGGTGTCTGTCCTCCCCTGGCCCCGGTGTCTGCCATAGACAGGGCAGACCCCACAGTACCCTGCCTGCGCACAAATGCAGGCATGGAGATGGGACAGTCGGTGCAGGAGGTGGTCACCCTCAGACCGGGCTGCAACATGGCTCCCGCTGCTGGGGAGGGGGCCTGGCGACCTGGGGGCCTGTGGCCTCGCTCTCGCTGATGGGCATCTTCTCGGGCTGGTGGAACCTCTCCTGGGGCTCGCTGCAGCTGGGGGTGGGCAGGCCTGCTGAGCGCCTCTGGGGCTCCCTTGGCCTGGACCCACACAGCCACCAGAAGGCCACCCAAAACTTCTGGGACGAGACTGTAGACGATGGGGTTGATGGCACTGTTGGCGTAGATGCAGGTACAGCAGAAGAGCAGCACCCAGGGGTTCAGGAGAGGCCAGGTCACGAAGGAGTTGATTAGCACCAGGGTGCAGTATGGCGTCTGCAGGACAGCGAAAAGCACCACCACCATGACCAGCATCCGGGTGACCTGTGGAGAAGGTGGTGGGAGCTCCCAGAGCCCAGCTTGTGGGCAGCTGGTGGCACAGCGAGTGCTACAGGCAGGGAGAGCCACGCCCCCACCCCAAGCTAGCAGGTGCTGAGTAAGAATATTCACAATAGCTCCTGTCACTGCGTGCTCACCTGTTCCTGGCTCTTCATGTGCACTAAGCCAGGCCCGACATGTAAAGCTTTGCCTGTTTGATAATATAATGAACTTTTTCTACAGCAAGTGGTAGGTAGTCACTGCTCTGACCCCTAAGTGCACCTGGTCCCTTCAAGGTCTCTCAGATTTCCTAGCAAGCAAAGAATTGGTGTATGGGGCTGGGGCCTCAGGAACCTGTTCCAGCACCCACCAAGGTCAGGTGTAAAAGAAACCAAAACCATGGAGTTTTGCCGTGGAATTGATGCCGACTTATGGCAACCTCATGTATTTCAGGGTTTTCAGCGGCTGATTTTTTGAAAGTAGATTTCCAGGCCTTTCTTCCAAGGCACCTCTGAGTAGGTTTGAACCACCAACCTTAGAGTTGGTAGCCAAGTTGCCGTCAATTCCAACTCATGGTGACCCCATGTGTGCAGAGCAGAACTGCTCCATAGGGTTTTCAAGGCTGTAACCTTTCGGAAGCAGATCACCAGTCCTTTCTTCCGAGGTACCTCTGGGTGGTTCAAATTGCCAACCTTGCAGCTAGCAGTCAAGCACTTAACTGTCTGTGCCACCTAGGGACTCTATCTGGCACATACTCATTACCCGTTGCCATCGAGTCGATTCCAACTCATAGCGACCTTATAGGACAGGGTAGAACTGCCCCATAGGGTTTCCAACAAGGCTGGTGGATCTGAACTGCCCACCTTTTGGTTATCAGCCAAGTTCTTAACAGGTGCTTAACAGACATTTGTTGACTTAATAGTGAATGAATGAATGGATGGATATTGAACTTGTGTCCTTTCTTTATGTCTCCATGTATGCCTTTGGGTCTCTCCCTGCCTCTTTACATCCTGACACCTCCCTGATACCTCCCTCTCTTTGTCCAGCTCCCCACCTGCCATCCCCCACCCACCCCAGAAGAGACCTGGCTTACCTGCTTCCTGGAAGATAGGAAGCCTTTGGGCCAGGGGCAACTGCTGGATGTACCCCCGCCCTGTGCCTGGGGCTGCCCCTCCTTGGTGCCCACCTCCTGCCCAGCTTTGCTGTCCCCAGGGTGGGGCAAGTGGGACAGGGAGTTCAGGATCAAGAGTCTCCCAATGTGCCCGTAGAGGACTGCAGCCACCAGCAGGGGCATAACGAAGAAGATGGTGAAGTCCAGAAGGTAGCTGGGCAGGTAGAGGCTGCGTGACACCTTGTAGCGGCACTCCATGGCATGGCTCTCACCAACATGGAGGTCCACCAAGAAGAGCCAGAGCCAGCAGTAGATGGCTGTGACCCCCCAGACGCCCGCGATGATGCATTTGGCCCCGGGCGACAGTGCACACAGCCTGTGCCCGAATTGGGAGGCAGATGGCAATGTATCTGCAGGCAGCAGAGACTGCCATGTTCCCTAGGTCTATCACCCAGCTCATGTCTGATTGGACCACAGGGTGACACCTGACCAAGCTCAGCCAATCGGATACTCTCTCTAGGTACACTAGAATGGAGGATACAGTGGTTGGACCAGTTCTTTGTGGAGCAGAACTCGAAGGACGTGAGGATTCAGGCAGCGAGGTGCCCTTTGTTTCTTTGTTTGTTTTTCAATACGTTATCTTATTCTCTTGTTGTTGTTGAGAGTAGACACTGCAGAACATGCACCAATTCAACAGTTTCTACATGTACTATTTAGGGACACTGATTACATTCTTCAAGTTGTGCAACCATTCTCACCCTCCTTTTCTGAGTTGTTCCTCCCTCATTAACGTGAACTCACTGCCCCCTAAGGTTCCTATCTAACCTTTTAAGTTGCTGTTGTCAATTTGATCCCATACAGATAGTTCTTAAAAAGCACAATGCTCAAGGCAGACATGAGACGGCCCCATGGGCAGAGCTCAGCGAGCCAGTCTTGAGAGAGGGGGACAGGAAGGTGGGTAGGGGGAGGGCAAATAGGCAAGGGCATCCTAAAGCTCAGCCACCCCTCTGCCCAGAGTCCCAGGGCATCCCACTGACCTTCCAGACCTTCGTCCTTGGTGCGAGTCCCAGTGGGTTTTCTGTCGCCTACCACCACAGGTCACTGGCTAAGGCAGCTAATGGCCAGGGCTTCGAACTGCTTCTAAACCATTCAGTCACGGCCGATGGAAAAACAAGGGCAGGATACGAGTTGCATAGCAACCAAATCTCTTGTGCATCACCTTTTGACCGGAGTAGGAGACAGGCAGCAGCGCCCTGCTCAAAAATGGTGGTCGACTTTGCTGCTTTAAATGTGTATCACTTTCTGCAGTCCTGCCAATAATCCAATCTCCCGCATCAGGCTCCTGAAAGCTTCTTGATGAGGAAGACTGGATTATTGGCTCCTGAAAGTTTCCTGATAGGGGAGATTGGATTATTGGCAGGACTGTGAACAGCGACACACATTCAAAGCAGTGAGTTCAGCCACCATCCTTGAGCAGGGCACTCCTGTTTCCTGCTTGGGTCAAAAGGCACCATGCAAGAGATATGGTTGCTATGCAATGCTTACACTGCCCTTGTTTCTGTAGGCCATGACTGAACCACTTTGAACTGGTTCAAAGCCCTGCCTTGTTTCCATTGTCCGTGACTGAACCATTTAGAACCAGTCTGAAGCCCCGCTAATAGCATCATTCACCCCTTGCTGACAGGGGTCACAGCTTAGAACCTTCCCAACCCCCACCCCTGCCTAGGCCACTAGCTAGACCTGGAGCACTGGGAACAATGTGTGCAACACAGGTTTGACCAAGCAGTGCTAACAGGGGTGGGGGGTGGGGGTTGTAGAGCCAGTGTACCCCAGGTAAGCACAGATGGGGTGAGGCAAGGTACAAGGAAAAGGGCCCAGCCAGCATTTGGACATCAGAAGGCCTAGATTTATGTCCCAATTCTGCTGTGTGGCCTGGGGCAAGACACTTAAACTCTCTGGGCCGCCTTGCCCAAGGCCCCACAGCTAGTGAGTGGCGGAGCTGGGATCTGAACCCAGGCAGCAGGCTTCAAGGTCCACGGGCTTAACCACTATGCTATATTTCCTCTCTGGTATTAAAATCCAAGCTGGGAGAGATCCAAAAGAATACCGACTTTTCCAGATGGGGAAACCGAGGTCCAGAGGACTCCAGGGATTGGCTTGACACTCTACAGCCCATTAAAAGCAGAGTTGAGATGAGAACCCCATTTCCTGATGCCTACCCCACAGTGAAGGTTCCCCTGCGTCCCACCCTAGTCCCATCCTGGTACCTGGAGAACACAGCTTCCTGCCCCACTGAGTCTCAGTTTACCCAGGACCACTGTTGGGAAGTCCTCACTGCCCTGCTTCACGGTGTGGGGCACCTACCTCTCCACAGTGAAGGCCAGGATGGAGCAGGAGGAGACATTAATGCCCAGGTACTGCAGGTAGGTGATTCCCAGGCAGCCAGTGTGCCCGTAGACCCACCGGCCAGCCAGGCTTTCAGAGACGTTGGGCAGCCCCACGGCCACCGAGACCATGAGGTCAGCCTGGGCCAGGCTGACTAGGACCAGGTAGCAGTTTGTGAGCGTGAGCATGTCCCGCGTGGTCAGCACCACCAGGACCACCGTGGCATTGCCCACGATGCCCACCATACACATCAGAAGCACTAGGAAAACCGAGATGGCCTTATACTCGACGAGACCCAAGGCGGCACCACTGGGTGCCAGCCAGACGCTGCTGGGGCTGTCTCTCCTGCTGCCGTTTTCCATGATCAGTGACCAGGAGCTGGGGAGGGGGTGAGAAAAGGAAACCCAGGGAGACACCAGCACCAGTACACCTCAGGAACCCATGCTGTGCCAGGCCCTGGGACTAACCTATAGGCGCCTCCTGCTGGCCAGGCTGGTGTGCAACAGGGAAGGGCGTTTGTGTTAATATCACTTGTCAGTCACCTCTAGGAGCCTCCATTTCCTCATCTGTAAAAACCAAGAGTAACCATCCTGGATGTGTACAACTGTGGGAGGCTTACATGAGATGAAGTTTGTGTCAAGCCCCTTGTCTAGCACATCGTGAGCGCTCTGCTATTGTTACAAAGTCATGCAACGTCTCTCACTAGGAGGCTCCACTGTGCCCAAGGCCATTATGGAGACAGGTTCTCCCAGAGAGGACCTAGGGGCCAGAAGGTGAAGTCTCAGCTGCTCTGAGTCCAGGTTCACCTCAGTGGTCCTACAGTTGGGCTTCAAGCAACGTCTGACTCTAAAAGCGTTCTGTCGGGAGCTTGTGAAGCTATAGAGCCGCATCTGCTCAAGGAGAGGAGTAAAAGCTGGAACCTGGCCAGAGAGGTGAGGTTCACTCAGGGATGTTCACATGCACACACACATGTACCACACATACACCACACACACGCACACACACTACACACACACGTCTCACACACCACACACACACTACACCTCACACACCACACCATATCACACACATGCTCACATACACCACACACACACACCACATACACACTACACACCACACCATATGCACACCACACACACACTACACAGCACACACCACATCACACCACACACCACATCACACCACACAGGTGGGAGTTCAGGGATGTTCACACACATACACCATGCATACACCATACAGAACCACACATCTCACAAACCACACCACATCACACGCTACACACCACACACTATATCATACACACATTTACATACCCCCCCACATGCACCTTTACTCCTTAACCCTGTTAGTACCACTGATCCAAAGGGCCCATGACAGCATCCCTCAGAGCCCAACTCAGCCCTGATGGCAGCAGTGGACAGAAGTCGGCCATTGCAGCCCCCCCACCAGGTTGGTGACCCCACGACAACCCGGAATGGGGTGCAGGCCAGACAGGGCACCCCAGGGTGCTCGAGAGGGAGAGCTACTCCCCTGCACGCAGAGCTGGCCACGGCCTCTTCTGCCCAGCTGGACTGCTGATAGCCCCACAGCCCCACAGCGGCCCATCCTGGGCAAGACCAGAATGGGAGAACCAGCGAGGCTGGGAGAGGAGGAAGGCTGCCCAGGGGGCTGCCACACACCTGTGTGCACACACAGCACACACCTGTGCACACACATCCAGACGTGCACACACACGGAGTATATCATGTTCACACATGCACAAACGCTTACAGTCACACACATTCACACATATATGCATGTATACAGACATACACCACACATGCAAACAGGACCCACAACACTCCTCCCATGCACAGCAATACACTGAGACACAGACACACACCAGCATAAATGCATGCAAAATACTCAGGACCCAGGAATCCCCCACAGCACACCCAACACACACAAGACTGCATATACACAGAGACCCAACAGATCCACATACACACACACAACATACACACATCCTCACATACACGCACTTAACTCGTCCCCCCCCCCACTACACCCAGTATCCCAACACACATGGCTGCATGTATAACCACAGAGACACAACAGAGCTGTATACACACACATATATCCTCCATACACATCCTCACAGAAATGCACACACACACAACACCCACTATGTAGAGACTGGAACACACACACGTGAATATACAACACACATTCACACACCCAGCCCACGATACACAGACCCCACGGTCCACTCACATGCCCACACGCACAAGTACACAGAAGCATACACTCCACACCGGCACATGCCCTCACCCCCCACCCCAGCCTGCTGCTCTCTTGAGAAGGAGGCCCCTTTCCGTGGAGCTGGATGAGCACCTGGACCCCAGGGCTTCCCTTCCTCCCAGCCAGTGGAGGCTGCAGCTGGAGCTGGACCTAGAGCTGTCACCCGCAGCCCCTCCAGATGTGCAGTGCCTCCCCAGATGTGCAGGCCCAAGCTGGAATCGCAGCTCCCATCCCTGCAGCCTCTGCATCTCAGTGGCACCCTCCTCCTGCCCCCACTTCCCACCTGCATTCTCAGCTTCATCTGCAGAACATTCCACCAGGTGGGCAGCCTGGGCCCCTCCTCCCTCAGGCCCCAAGAGAAACTTCCAAGCACAGTGACCTTACCCAGTGGAAATCCTTAAAGCCCTTTCCTCCTCCTCCCAGACAGAGAGGAGAATTTGTGGCACTTCAATCGTTCCATGGCTGAAGGCTTCCTGTTCTCTAGGCTGCGATGCCACAGGCACGTGTGTGGTGCGTGCACACGCACTAGCACAGACACACACACTCCTGAGCCCTGCCAACTTTTCAGCTCCCCACGCCCCTGCCCTTCCCCTGCACCAGCCCGGTCAGCCGACCGCCCCTCGTCTATGAGGCATCGTCCCCACAGGAAGCCCTATGAGAAGAAAGCGGGTCCCTGCTTGGGAACAGCGGGGACCACGGCCCTGTCCAGCACCTGGGGATTCGCAGCCCCCAAGAATCGCTCAGGCTATGAAGGACCTTGGAGAGCAGCATTCAGGGGGCCCACCAGCCTACAGAGCACCTGACAGAGGGGGAGGCAGAGGCCCAGAGAAGGGGAGGGTGCGGGTGAGGTCGAGGTGATGTCCTGGGACCCAAGAGTGGCCAAGCTGCTACAAAATAGGGGAACGGGGGTGGAGGGACACGGGTCTGGCATCGGAAGGTGAGACTGGTGTAGGGGCTGCTGCTGGGGGCCATGGAGAGGAAGGATGGATGTGCTCATGGACTGTTTCTAGCTTGGGTATGTTACAACATTGCCTGCAGTCACAGTGGGGTGGGGACTCCTAGGATACCATTATACAGAGGAGAAGACTGAGGCTAGGGGATCGGAGTGGCTCATTCAAAAGAGTAAAGGCACAGGGATAGAGCCCAGGTCTGGGGGCTCTGAGGGGCTGAGTTTTGTGAGGGGGTTGCTGCTGACCCCATGTGGGGCCCAGTCCAGCCCCGTGGTCCTGGGCTGCTTCTCAGACCATGAACCACAGGCACGCACATCAGAATCAGGCAGGGACCCGCTTAACATGCAGATCCCTGGGCCACAAGCTGTGGTGTTGTTGGGTGCCATCGAGTCAATTCCAACTCATAGCAACCCCGTGTACCAGAGTACAACTGCCCCATAAGGTCTCCTAGGCTGTAATCTTTATGGCAGCAGATCACCAAGTTTTTCTCCTGTGGAGCCACTGGATGGGTTCAAACCACCAATCTTTCAGTTAATAGCCAAGTGCTTAATGGTTTTCGTCACGCAGGTGCCTGGGGATGAAGGTTAGCATGCTAGGCTTACTAAGCCTGGGTTTCTGGGGGTGGGGCCCTTGAGTTAGCATTTTAATAGCCCACACCTGGAAGTTCTGATGAGCTCCAGTATCTTTCTGGCTTTTTACATTTTTACTGTGAAATATAACACACATAGAGGAAAATGCACAAAACATAAATGAATAGCTTAGTGAAGAAAGTGAGCCCTTGGGCACTGTCATGGATTGAATTATGTCCCCCCAAAAATGTGTGGATCAGTTTGGCTGGGCCATGATTCCCAGTAATGTGCGGTTATCCTCCATTTTGTGAATGTAATTTTATGTTAAAGAGGATTAGGGTGGGATTGTAACACCCTTACTAAGGTCACATCCCTGATCCACCTTTTATCTTATGAGCGATAAAAGGAAAGGGAAGCAAGTACAGAGTTGGGGACCTCATACCACCAAGAAAGCAGTGCTGGGAGTAGAGCGTGTCCTTTGGACCCGAGGTTCCTGTGCAGAGAAGCTCCTAGTCCAGGGTAAGATTGATGACAATGAGGACCTTCCTCCAGAGCTGACAGAGAGAGAAAGCCTTCCCCTGGAACTGATGCCCTGAATTTGGACTTGTAGCCTACTAGATTGTGAGAAAATATATTTCACTTTGTTAAAGCAATCCACTTGTGCTATTTCTGTTATAGCAGCACTAGATGACCAAGACAGGCACTATGATGGTTAATGTTGTGTGTCAATTTGGCTGGGCCATGATTCTCAGTGGTTTGGCAGTTATGTAGTTTGGCAGCTATGTAATGATATAACACCTCCCTAATTAGATCTGATATAATGTAATCACTTTCATGATGAGATCTGCTATGAGCAGCCAATCAATTGAAAGGGAGTTTCCTTGGGGATGTCGTCCGTATCCAATATATGTGGATTCCTGGCAAATCTCACTGGCTGTTGCTCACTCTGGATCCTGTATTTGGCTTGTCATCATCTGAACTCAGTTCTTGGGACTTAAGCTAGCAGCTTACTTGCCAGTCTTGGGATTCATCACCCTCCACAGCCTGTGAGCCAGCCACCTGCTGTCTGGCCTGCCAATCTTGGGTTTGCCAGCCCCTGCAGCTATATGAGTCAGGAGAAGCCTCCAGCCTGACCCACAGACTTGAGACTTTCCAGCCTCTACAAACACGTGAGCCATTTGCTTGATCTAAATCTCTCTCTGTATATATATACATATACGTATACACACACACACACACACACACACACGCTTCACTGGTTTTGCTTCTCTGGAGAACCCAGCCTAAGACAGGTACCCACATCCTAGGATGAAAAATGAAGGATTTCCCACAGCTCAGACACCCAGCCATGTCAGCCACAGCCCTCCTCCACTGTGGTCATCCACTGTCTCAACAAGCAGCAGAGCCCCCCACCTCCTTCCTTCCTTTTGTCATTCCGTCCTTCCTTCTGTCCATCTCTCCGTCCTTCTGTCATTCCTCGGTGTTCTTTAGAGTTTTACTCCCCCTATATCAGAGCTCAGTTTGCCTGCTTGCGAGGTTTACAGAAAACAGAATCACAGAGTA